CAGAGAGGAATAATGGCCAAGCTGACATAGGTGTAAATGGTCCAAGCCCCCTCGTTTTGGTACCATCATTTGATATTATCAAAGGCTTTGTACCAGATTACATGCACTCTGTATGTCTTCGGCCTGTCAGACAGTCTGTCAACCTCTGGTTCGATTCCAGATATGCCAATTCACCCTTCCATCTGACACCTTCCACATGAACAGAAATAGGTAAAAATGTGTGTGGAATCCATCCTCCAAATGAGGTTTGTAGAAACCCAAGGCCTCTTTCAGACAGAAATCTTTGGAAAGCATCTGAATGGCGAGCTTTTCTTCTCCTGTATTCACCCATCATCTTGAGAAATTCTTTGCCCAGGCAATGTTGTAACCACTGGATACTTCTTGCCTGCGCACTGCATATACTTTTGTCCCAAACTGTCACTGATGAAGAGCTCAACTGTGCCGAGTTGTGTCTTATACAGTTTGTAGCTCAGGTTACAGGTCTTTATGGCATTGAACACTGCTCATTTAACTGTCACTTACTAACACATCTCACACAAAGTGTCAGGGACTGGGGCCTCCTGTGGGCCAATTCAGCATTGGGTTACGAGGATGTAAATGGGAAACTTAAATCTTTTCAGGGGAACCCAAGCTGTAGCATCACAAAATTTTAAGTATTTTTTTGCTTTCCAAAAAGTGCTTAGATTTGGAGAGTCAGTCCTACAAACTGCAAATGAGAATGTTAGGTGTTTTTTCAAAGCTTTGACATGCCATGATACAGTCACAAACTCAGGAAAGTACATTACTGATCATGTGGTCACATTAGGGAGTGGTACAAATAGGGAGCTGACTGCTAGTGAGAGGGTGGCATTACAAAACAATGAGACTCTTATTGGGTACCTTTAGTATCACAATGCTACTGTATATAAGCGTTGCATGCATCATTTGCCAGATGCTGCTAATCACACAAGAATATACACAGGGTTTTAAAAGAAATAATGCAGTCATAGCCACAAAAAAATCATTTGGTTTAGTTCAGTCTCTGGTTGTTTTTCTGAAGGAGTGTGAGTGTGAACTTGACATGGAATGTTTTTGTCAGGAACTCTTAATATTCTTTTTACAGCTCGCAAAAGATAGGAATCAGTTCACCATCTACAAATCAGACCTAAATACAAATGTTGTGAAATTTCTAATGCAAGTAAAGGCCACCAACAAGCTGTGTGCAATCTCATGGAAGGATGTTGATTCAAAATGCATTGTAATCGAATATAGACATCAGATGTACTTAATGAAGATGTCAGTGTTTGAATTAGACTAAGTCATGAGAACTTCTTATAATCATTATTAAAATAG